GCAGCAGGAAAGATGAAAGGAAGCTGACCGACCAGGGACACATAACCAGCAGAGTCAGCCCAAACATATGGCATGTTCCTGAAACTGACGGACGAAGGCTCAGGACATTCTGCTTCTTGAAGCCAAAAAAATTCTCAGTTACCCACTATAAAAAATATCCCGAGCATTTGGAGTGATGACAAAATTTTAGAAATACTGGCAGTGGTTGTCGAGTATAATTAATGCCACTGAGTTATTCACTAGAAAATGGCTCCAAAGGCATATTTCTTTACATATAGTCTACCACAAAAACATCAAATGACAGTTAAAAAAATAAATATATCCCTAAATAGGTCATGTCAGAACCCTGGCCTCTCTCCCTCCTGACCGCTGCTGGCATTTAAATGCTCTCTACTTCTCTCTCTCTGTCCCTTGATCTACTTTGGGACCCGGGAATTAAAACTATTCGATATTTCAACTGCCATTCAGCTCTATGACTTGGCATGTCTACAATGAGACCCACGCGATGTATCGCTTTTGAAATGTGTACCTACGATTTTACACAGCCATGCCATGGAGGACTGCCTTCCTTCCAGCTTGCTCTTCTCAACCGTGAGCACTGTCGTCTGCACTCCCTCCCTGGCCCAGGTCTAGGACGCACTGTGACATGTTCTGTGTTCGGGTTTTAGAGTTTTCACAAGTCACTGCGGAAGCGGGCACACGCACAAGGCCGGGTCAGCACGCAGAGCAAGGAGGGAAAGGTGTTTCTCTGGGAACAGTCGGAATCTTCATCAGCCAGGCCGCCCCTCCTCACAGAATGAAGGCATGTCCATAGACACTACAATCTCCGCTTGAAACTATCCAATCCCATTACAGAGTGGACAAGGACGTGTCACGAGGGAAAAACCTCAGCTCAACACCCTGGAGTTGACATTCTTTTTTTTTTTTTTTTTTTTTTTGAGAGGTTTTTGCTATAGGGCGCCTGCGCTTGCCAGACAGACAGAGAGAGACAGAGAGACAGAAAGCGAGAAATCACCCTCCAGGGGGGATGGCCATGCCGCAGTCCCTTCTCCATTCTCCTCTCGGGATCTTGGACACGCATGCACACGCACCCAGCGTGAGTTTAAGCCACCAGGTCCAGGATGCGAACCACGGTCAACTACGTGGGAGTCCGGCGACATAGCCATTACATTAACTGCTGGTCCCTGGAGTTGACATTCTAAAGAAAGAAGACCTTCGGTTAGCAGGTGTCCAGGAGGTATGCGGCCCCATGGCGGAGGGCCGTGGGGCCGCCGGGGGACAGCCCCTCCACTCTGCTGCACACCTGCCTGCGACTAGCACACCCCAGTCTACAAGCTCCGTCATGCCCTGCAGATGCCTGACGGGCCTGGTGACCTCACCGGTGACAGAAACCTGGGCCCAGGCTCTCCCACTTTCCCTCTGCTCTGGGCTTTGACAGCTCAGAGTACGATCTTGGTATCACGCTGGTCCAAAAGGGGGCTCCAGCCCAAAGAGTCCCTAACTGCAAGGCTCCACACTCCGGAGACAAGTCAGCTGCATGCTTCATCATTCTGGGACTTCAAAGTCCACGTATGGAGTTGACTTACACGCGCTATCTGTACCACTAGGCCTTCGGGTAGAAATGTAATCATACTCCTCTCGTGTGCTCAGAATGTCAAAACCGTCTAAACCTGGGACTGTGCTTTTCCCAGTGACAGTGGTGTGGCAAACCAGCTTGGCTTTCTGGGAACGATCTGGCAATGTGGGGCAGAAGGTATCAAACTGCTCCTGCTCTTTGACGTGTTCAAGGGGACTTTGGGAAACATGCCCCAAGGAACCAACCCCAAAATAATCGGTTAAAACATGTTCATACCAACGGTGTTGTCCAATGATGAAAAATAAAAATACTCTTGACTCAAGATCTCAAGAATAAGAGAATTATAATCAAGGTATGTTAGATCATCATACACTAGAGCTTCGAAAAATAATTACACTCACATGTGCACGTGACGTAATGTAAGTTAACAAGCAAGCGTGTCACCAAATAGACATACGGTTTGAAGTCGGGGAGACAGAGATGAAACCGTAAAGGTCATTTGTTCTGTTCTCTCAGTTGACCTGATTTTACAATACAAACAAAAATAAAAGTAGACAAAGTAATTTTGTACTAATATCTAAAAATGAACCAAAACAATGAGTTAAAAAACAATGAATAATTGGAAATCACCTAATTCTCAGGAATCCCTAAGCACCATAAATTCATAAATACGCCTTATTTTATATATATATATGTGTGTGTGTATGTGTATATATGTATATATGTATGTATGTGTGTGTGTGTGTGTATATATATATATATTTAGTTTTTGCTACAGCGCACGTGTGCTTGCCACAGAGAGAGAGGGAAGTGAGAAAGTACCCCCGAGGGGTGACCATGCACTCAACACTTCTCCTCCATTCTCCTCTGAGATTTGGGTATGCAGGCACAGTCCTGGTATGCTCCTCAAGCCGCCAGGTCCAGGACTTGATCCACACCATCAGCCTTGTGGAATCCAGCTGCCTTAACCACCTGCCAACAACTGGTCCTGCATGGGTTGTCAGAAAAGTCATGATGGGGGCTGGCAGGTGGCATGGTGGTTAAAGGTACTGGACTCCCTCATGGCCAACCACGGTTCGAGTCCTAGACCTTGCTTTCTCACTTTCTTTCTCTCTCTCTCTTAAAATAAATAAATAAATAAATAGATGGATAAATGCAGTTATATAAAAAGTCATTCTAAAAAAACTTCTTAAAAATATCGTGATGCATTTTTGCGTAGAAAAACACAGAAAAAATATGTCATGACTTTTCTGATGACCCAGTATTTAAACTATCTCTATGTATGTGCAAATATTTATTATATATCTAAACAAAGATGGGGTTTTTCAAGAAGTTTATGGAAATGCATAATATAAAAGAATCTATGCATGGATCTCTTTTATTTGTTTTCTTTTTGTACTAAAAGAAACCGCCAGCAGCATGAGGCTGTGGATGACATGGTATGGGGAGACAGAGACCTTGCACTCGTGCCCAGCCCGGTCCCGGCGGTTTCACTGCCTGGGAGATGGGTGTGTTCAGCCAGGCTTGTGAGTCATGGGTACGCAAGGCCAGCGCACTGCGGAGTATGCCTTGTTGTCACATGTCCCCAACCTCTCTCAGGTGTAGGACTCTCCCAGGCTGCCCTCCCAGCCAGGCACACCCATAAGCTGCTGTTACAGTGGGCTCTGGGCCCACGCCCTGGGATGGGTTCCCGCCCCGGCAGGCGATGCCCACGCAGCGTCTGGGCTGGAGCACAGCACGCATCGGTGCCAAGAACGTCTGCCCTGGTGTCCCAGCTGCTGCTCCAATGGCATCAGGGTTCTTGAAGTTTCCATGGACTGATTCCTGATGTG